GTTTCTGTCTGATATGCTGTCCTTGCGTCACTATTTTGGATCGTGTCTGGACTTGTTTCCCTAAAGGACTCCTGCCAAGCGGTACTTCTTTGTCCTTGATCCTTATAGATCCGTACATGGAAATTGCAATTCAGAGTAGAAGTATGAAAACATGATGAAATTTTATTCAAAGAAGGTTTAAGAGCAAAAACTCTCTTAAACTTTATTTANAGAAATATGAAAACATGATGAAATTTTATTCAAAGAAGGTGTAAGAGCAAAAACTCTCTTAAACTTTATTTAATTACAAGTGGTTTAGATCCAGTATGGATCCACTGTCTTTGAGGGTTTAGCCTCGAACGGTGTACATGAAAGTTTTCAAAATAAAAATATTTTCTCCTCCTTTCCTTCTTCTTCTGTCTTCCTTTTAAAGTTGAATGAGAAAGATTCCCCCTCATCTCTGTCGTCCACTTGTTATCTACAGTTTTTCTTTTGCAAAAACAAAAGTAATGATAAAGGGATATGACAATTCTTCTTTCTCTTTTCATAGTGGATGATTATCCAACCCATAAAGCAAAGTAGATGCTTTTCTTTTTATTCTGATTGGTCCTCGTGGCTTTCACTATTACTTCCACTGGATCCTTCTGTCGGTAGAGCAATTTCATCACGTTTTCATACTTCTACTCTAAATTGCAATTTTCATGTACGGATCTATAAGGATCGAGGACAAAGAAGTACCGCTTGGCAGGAGTCCTTTAGGGAAACAAGTCCAGACGATCCAAAATAGTGAGGCAAGGACAGCATATCAGACAGAAACGTAAGAAGGCGAACTCAATCTCAACATACAGTAAGAAGGTTTATTTGCCTAAAAGTCTTTTAATTATTTATTCTATATGTGTACCAGTTGGCATCCATTGTCTACATTTTTAATAGTTTACATTCCGCCACCCATGCCCCGAAAATTTGTATCTCTCCCCAATTTATATCACCTTTGTAGCTTTTGCTTTTGCAATTAAGCTCATGAAGAACATTTACTCACAACCTTTATAATTATACATTGAATATTTATAGAGAATTCTGAATAGGGATGGCGGGGGGGCCCTCCCCGCCCCGTTACCTGTTTATTACCCGTTTAAATTTTTTTTTTTTTTTTGTATTTCATAATTTTCACATTTCATTGCCAAAAAACATATTTCCATCCACTCATCGTCAATTGTTTCGTTAAAAAAAAAAAAACTTTTCAGACACCAAAAATAAAATAGTCTCAACCCATTTAATCCATTCTTCTCGCCTTCAAAATAATTATTCCATAAATAAAAGTTTCATGGATATGAAAATAATTTATAAAATTATTGCATTAAATAAATAAATAATGGCATAAAGAACATTGAATTTCACAACAATGGTTGCTGTAATGGTGGATTACTAATAAAATTTAGAGGGGTATTCTAGAGAATTCAAAAAATTGTACATTTGCCTTGGAGCATTGAGGGATGATTTTATTAGGGGCTGCAGATAGTGATTGGGCTAGATGAAATTCAATGTTCTTTATGCCATTTTTTCTTTATTTAATGTAATAATTTTATAAAGTATATTCATATTTATGTTATTGATACTTATGGAATAACTACTTTGAATGCAAGAATAATGAGGCACTGTTTGGTACACATTATTTTTTTCATTCTCATTCTTCTACTCATTTCAATCACACATGCTTTAATAAAATAATATTTTCCATCACATCAATAACTTTTCCTTCATTTTTAACCACACATNTTCTCATTCTTCTACACATTTTCAACCACACATTCTTCAATAAAATAATATTTTCCATCACATCAATAACTTTTCCTTCATTTTTAACCACACATTCTCCATCAATCTACTATTCAATAATATATTCTTTCAAAAGAATATGTCACAAACACACTCTGAGTTAAACGGACTGAAACCATTTTACCTTTGGCGTTTAAAAAGAAAAATTGGTTTTTTGTATTGAATAAGTACAGCAAATGACGATAAATGGATGCAACGATATTTTTGGCAATGAAATGTGAAAATAATGATGAAAATGCTAAAAAAAGTATCGACATTTTTCACAATAATATTGAAAAATAAGAACATCTTGTGCTAATCACCCTAACTTTTTATATAATATTGAAATATAAGAAAATCTTGAGCTAATTAACCTGACTTTTTATATTGAACTAACGGAACAACTGACTATAAGTGGATGAAAGGACCTTTTTGGCAATGAGAAGTAAAAATAAAGATGAAAATGTCAAAAAAAAAANTTTATATATGGATTTATTAAAATTTCAAAAAAAAAAAAAAAAGCGACATTCTGCACAGTAATATTGAAAGTAATGACGTTTTGTGCTAATTACTTTTTCTTATTTTAAAGTCTAGCTCAATAAAATATTCAAGAATTACTGAAATTTGAAATATAAGAAGTCCAATAAAAAATTCCCTCTAACCTAATCTCAACCTACAAACATTGTTCTCTACCAGCAAAGAAGACATTATTAATTTGGAGTATTTATGATTTTAAGAATTATATTTTATTAAAAACTTGAAAAAGTTATGTAATAAGTATCAATAAAATTTCGAGGTATACTTCATCTCATTTATTTATTGATCTACAATATTTAGAATAATACTCCCTTTCGTCCAATAAAAATAACATTGTTTTTTTTTTCTCGTCTATCCCAAATTATAGGCCACTTTCTTTATTGAGAGTGTAATTGATTTTAAAATTTTTAATATACTTCTATTTAACGTACCTTATTATCAATAAATATGAAATAATTATATAATGTAAGAGCATGTTAAAAAAAATTGTTAGAAAAAATTATATTTCCAACCATATTAAATACATTTTCTTCATACATGTAAAAATGGAAACAAACATATCT